CTCTTTTAGGAAGAGTTGTCTTTGTTGTATTTTCAAAAATATATGTGGTTTTGGGAGGAGATTTCCACTGCTCTACTCACGCCGCCATCTTGGCTCCACCTCCTCTCATGCTTTTATTTTTAAGATTTCTTTCTTTCCTTTTTTTCTATTTATCCAGTCATTTCAGTTGCTTTCAACAGGAGGATTGGTCCACATACCCTAACCTACTAGAGGTGAAAATCTGCCTTATCTGATCTCTAATAATCCTCTGAGGTTTGTGTACAGATGTATGACAGGCTGCTTTCCCGGATAAGGAAACTGAGGCTGAGGGATGTTTAGGGACTGGGTCAAGATCACACAAGTAAGGCACAGCCTGGAACTCCTGAGTCTCAGGCTTCTTTTCTTTCCACCCATAACATTGCCTTTGAGCCTTCTTCTACTGGGCGTAGTCTTAGAATTTTAGACTATATATTATTTAGACTATATATTTTATTGGTGTAACTTTTTCCAGATATGGTGTTTTAAATGGAAAACAATAATTGCTTTCTTTTTCTTTCAGCTGAAGTGAGTAGCGAATACAGTATGGACAAGGCAATGGTTGAATTTGCTATGATGGATTGGGAACTAAACCATTATGTAAAAGCTGTTCAATCTATGATAAGTCATGTAAGTTTATACCATTTACCTGGATATATTTGGTTACAACTCACTGACCTAGAAATGGAAACACAAAAACAAAATTCTTCTCTAACCTTTCATAGTCCTTTATCCTTACTGTAGCAGCTATTGATTTCTTCTAAATTAGGAAGTTTATAGAATAAAAATCTTAAATATTTTCCCAGCTAGGCCACCTAGGTTTAATTAGGATATTTTATCTGTTTTAGATTGTCTTATATTTTTTGTTTTGAAATTTTTAGTGTAAGCCTCCTTTGAATACGAATAGATCTTTATAAAATGCTAAAAATTGCATAGAACTTGTTTTTATTGTTATATTTGCTTAAGCATACAACTTAGACCAGGTTTAGTTACTCATTCTCCAGCTTTAACTAATATATAGCTATTGCAAAATTTGTAAGATCAGATTATATGAAAGAGTTTTAGAGCAAGGTTAAAAATAAAGAAGGTTGGCATTTCATTTTTTTCCAGAAGCTAAACTTATCTTTGTTGAGTCCAGCTGTAACAGGAACAACACATAAGGCAGTTAAGGTGGGAACTTAGCAACATCCTTTTCAGTAGTACTGTGTTGAGTAAGAAATGAGCAATATGATTGCAGTAATGTTTCTAAGAAGTCCTTTGTCCTCTAAGCAGTGGAAACTCCCCTTTGAACTGATTTCATATACCTGTATAATAGGGTGTCTTGTACTTCTGGTTTCTTTATTTGCCTTTTCTAATATCTGTGGGAAAATTCCAAAAATCAAATATTTTACAATGTAGAATACAACTATTTAGTTGAAGATAAATTTTAAAATATGGTGCAATACTTAAGCCATACTTAAATGAGCATTACCTAGTTACACATTCATAATTATATAAAGTTTTCCTGTGTTTTCAAAAAGAATTTTAATGTTTTTTTCTGGTTTAAGAATTTTTGCTTTTTTTAATGATTTGTGTTCATTAAGTGTAGTATTTGTAACTAACTAAAGAATGTCCGCTTATATCGAACTAATAAACTCATTCAGCTTATGAAATTCTGATGTTTCTAGTGATTGAGGTTATTGGTCCTGGTACTGTGAATATTTCTTTCATAGGAAAATATGAAAATGATGTCATGTTGGGGCATTTGATACTGGATTATAAAGTGCTTAGCCCAGAGGTTTGCAACTCCAGCTGGACTCTGGAACCAGCCAGTTGCTACTTTAAAGAGATTCTGATTTCATTGGTCTGGAGCAGGGTTGGGCACCAGTATTTTTTTAAAAACTCATTCTAATATGTATCCAGGGTTGAAGACCACTGCTTTATAGAATAGTGTGTTTGCTACCAAAGGTCAGAGTTGGGCCTATTGTATAGATAAATCCTGCTTTGACCCTTATATTCTACAGAGGTTATTTGATAGGCCTTTCTCTATCTTTACTTAGGTGTTGTGCAGATGTAATAGCCCAGTGTACATTATAGACAAGAAAACAGATTAAAGAATTTAACATGGATTTTTTTTCCTATAAAATTGTAGGATTCACAGATGTTCAAGGTATTTTTACATAAAGAATCCAACTTTTCTCCCTTTAAAAAACTGAGTCACTCAGTTTTAAAAAAAGACAAGCCCTCTCTCACCCACATTCTATAGTTCACAGCATTCTTTCATCTTGAGCCCTCTTGCCATTACCCCCACCCTGCTAAACAGGAAAGATGACACTTTGAGTTTTATCCCACTTTTCAGTCCTAACCTTACCCTAGACTGTAGAGCAACTTGGATTTAGTGATTCTAATGCTTGTCAGGAAACTCCCTTGTCTTTCATAAGGGGATAAAACATGCTTATTGTCCTTTTCTGAAGCAAAGTTGTGCTCTCTGTATAGGCTTGATACAAGACCAAGTAATAGCAGGTCATAATTTTATAATGTTTCTAAAACCTGAAACTATATAGGGTCGTAGTGGGTTATGATAATTATTTAGAAGGAAATATCTTACACTCTCTTTATGTATTCTACATGCTTGAAGTTATGGATATTGCTATCTTATTGCTTGTTTTGGTGAGGGATAAAAAGTGAACAACAGCTTGATAGGGGCCAGAATGGTAGAGTTCTTTAGAAATAGCAATGGTCTAGTGATCAGAAAGTCTTCTTGCCCTAGTTCTTCCATTTTGTAACTTATGACCCTGGGTCAAGAAACTTAACCTTTTGGAACCTCATGTTCTCCATTTATAAAATTCTTGGTCTGCCTATTCCACAAGATTATTGTGTGAATTGGATTAGATACTGTATATCAAACACTTTGACATTCATAAACTTTGATGGAGATGTAAGATAGTGTGTTATTGCAAACCCATATTTCCAAACATATTCCTTAGATAGAAAGAACAAGATATTTTTTAAAGACAAGTATTTTGCTCGCTTGTGTCAAAGCTTTGAAACAGAACTTCTTTTGGGTTTTGACCTGTTGGAATCCAAAAATGATGTAGGATTAGATATAAGCTAGTTAAGTTATAGTATGAGGTGTTCATAACCTCTAAGATGAAATTGTTTTAAAATGAGATTATTAAGACACAGATAATAGGAAGCTGTATGTGTCCCCTTTGTTCTGTCAGAGACTTTTAGAACTACAGCACTTCCATTACTATAACATTTGCCAGAATTCTGATCCACTGTGTGGTCTTACTATTTATGAATTTTCGTCATAGAAAACTAAAAAAAAAAAATTAATCACCAAAGAGCATTAAAGTTTTTTTATTTAAATATGTCTTTCTCCTATTCTTTTCCACACCTCTGAAAGGGTGTTGGGCATTCACAATGGAACCTTCCATGTGCAGCTCAATTTACCAACAATCCTTAGGAAGTCCCTTTGGCATGCAGCACCTTCAGATTGCCTTTCTTTGTCCTTAGAGAAAATAGAGCTACTATGTTCTAAGATGGCTGAAGACTTGATTTGGAACCAGTATTTATGTCAGTGCTCTGAAATTTTAAAAAAAGGGGCTTCGTTCCATCTAGT